AAAAAAAGAAATGAGGAGACGAAAAAAGTAAATAGCACGAGGGATATATGCTATCCCTTAAAACTTGATGACAACCTTCACACTGTTGGGCTCTTTCATATAATCAAACCCTTTGTTGATCTCAGCAAGTGAAACCTCATGTGTAATCAGCTCATCAAGATCAATTTCCTGCTCACAATTACACAAGTTTTATTTATTCGCTGTAGACAAATAAGCTAGCTTATTTAGTTAGCTTATAAGCTCCCTGTATTCAAATAAACTCCGTTTGGTAGGACGAGTTTTTTTAAAAAGCTTTTTCGGGTAGCTTTTTAAATAAGCTCGTTGAAATTTTTATTTCAGCTGGTTTATCAGCTAATTTTACCAAACACTTTTATCATATAAGTTAGCTTTTCAGCTATAAGTCAAAAACTATAAGCTATAAGTAAAAAATTACTGACAAACTATAAGCTAGCTTATCAGCTTATTTTACAAAACATATCTTAATATAGTTTACTGTCATTAGCCTCCTACACTGCACTATACATTGGCCTAGAATCCAAAATAAGTATCAATCATAAAAATTGGCTATTTTTTGTATCTTCTCATGAGCTAAATAGATAGAGAAGTTGTATACCTTGTTGACACATTTCTCAACAATTTGAGGGAGATCTGTTTGAGTCCTTACACCACCATAGATAGAACCCTTGACAGTTCTACCACATAAGAGAGGAATATAGTTGAGCTCCCCACTCTTATTAAGCCCTGCCCCTATAAATACAACTGTCCCAAGCCCCTGATATATATATATATATATATATATATTTTTTTTGGTTAAAAAAACAAGTGAATAGATAAAAAAAGTTAGTTAGCTCTTAAAAAATGATTGTTAGATTTTAACTTGAAAAGAAAGATTAAGGATGCATACCACTTTTGAACCCTCAATGGCTTCATTAAGCAAATTTGGCACGCCCGTGCACTCGAAACAGAAGTCCACTCCGAGCCCTCCGGTCGCCTCTTTGATCAAATCGGACACGGATTTATCAGAGCTCTTTGGATTTATAAATTCTGTAATTCCAAACTTTTTGGCCTTGTCATGCTTCATTTCGTTTATATCGATCCCGATTATTTTGGAGGCCCCTTGCATTTGAGCTCCTTTGACAGCCCCAAGCCCAACAGCACCGAGGCCAATGACAGCCACAGTGGAGCCCTTGTCGATTGTGATCTCCCTCCAAGTCGACCCGAACCCGGTTGTGAAGCCACAGCACAGGAAGCTGGCGTGTGGGAGGGAGACTCTCGGGTCAACCTTCACCGCGTAGTCAGCCTCTATCACAATATACTCGGACCAAGTCGAGCAGCTGAAGTGGTGGTATATTTTTTCCCCTCCTACAGACATTCTCGACGTGCCATCTGACATGAGGCCGCTAAAACCGAGAGGGTATTTGTGGCATAAGTTTGTTTTACCAGACTTGCAGTTGAGGCACTCGCCACACTCGCCAAGGTAGAGTGGCATCACGGTGTCCCCTGCCTTCAGCTTCGTCACGCCATCCCCAACGCTCTCAATCACGCTAAAATAAATAAACATAAATATATAAATAAACATTTAAATCCCGAGAGAATTTTTAATTTCTGACTAATCTTTCAACAAAAAGAGCCTTAAAGCAACACCAGTGACATCCACAACTTACCCTACACCTTCATGTCCAGGAATCCGAGGGAACAAAGGCTGTGGATTTAACAATTAACAAAAAACAAAAAAGGGATACAAATCATCATTTGAGCATAAACATAAAAACAAAGTTGATATATAAGTCTTTGGTAAAAATGCATTTTTAGTCATGTTGGTTTAATGTTACAACAATTTTAGTCCAAATGTTCCAACTTTTCGCTTTTTTGTCCTGTGATTTAAGATTTTGCTGCAATTTCAGTACTCAGAGGACTGTAATTGCAAGAAAATTTTGAATTACAAAACTTAAATTGCTAATAAATAATTCATTCAAAAGATATAAATTGAGAATTTGTTGCAATGTCAGTCCTCAAATGACTCAAATTGCAGTAAAATATTAACTTACATGACCAAAAAACGAAATATTAGAATCTTGGGAATAAAAAAATTTGCTATGACATTAAACCAGCAACAATAAAAATGCAATTTAACCTAATTCTTGCAAAGTCGGCAAAAAGATCAGATTTTACTTACAACAGGGAGGCCATTGCAACATAGTATGTCCGTGTGGCACATACTTGCACACAACATCTTGATCCTAACCTCAGACGATTTGGGTGGGTCGACTTGAATCTCCTCCACCTCCAATGGCTCCCCGGATTTTCTCAACACCGCAGCTGCAAAGGCGCCGGAAATTTCATCAACTATGTAATGAAATTTCTATCTTTTACTTCAACATATGATCACATTAGCATTCAAAAATGATTGTTATTAATCTTCTTACCTTTGCAAGTTATGACTCCTTGGGTGCTTTGGTTGGTCATGGTGCACCTTTCTTCTAACTAAGCAAATATTTATTTTGGGTGAGATGAAAATATGTTATTTGGGCTAAACTTTTTCGTAGAGGAAAGAAATATTAGGTGTGTTAATGAGGGTGCATTCAATATATATAGAGGGCGAGAAAATTAGTTCAAAATTTTAATTCAATATTATATTATTGAATTAAACAATATATATTTGGACATTATTAGATTTATAGATAATTTTCATGGAGTGATGAGGCTACCATTAGAAGACAGGAAAGTGAAGCAATTCATGAGAAAAAAGACAAGACTTCATGCATTTCTATAAGGTATTATTATAATTGGAATTTGCTCGCGTTGCTCGCGTGCTCCACTGTTTTGTATGTATTAGTTTAGTAACACTACTTGCGCATAGCTAATTTATTTATTTAGTTTTGTTAAATTGATTTCATAGTTCATCTATCTATATATTATTCCGAATGCACTGAGCCTATGATGTAGAGCGTAGTATGGATAGGGAAGAACACACAATTCTTACGAGAAATCTCAATTTTTATTCATCAAAGTATGTCCCCAAAAGAGAGAAGACGATTGTTTTAATACATCAGATAAATCCCTAATCTTAAAAGTTCCATAAATAACAAAAAAGGCCCAACACTAATAATAATAATAAAAAGAACCCAACAATAAATAAAGACAACTAAAGAGAAATAAACTAGCTAAGTACGAAAACGGTCATATTTATTTAAGAACGCTATCGCGGTCTCGTCTCCATCATCCTCCCCCGGTTGGGAAGGATTCGGCCGCGAATCCGAACCGGTCTCGTCTCCGTCAGAATTGTCTTCCGCGAATGGCACCAAATGCTTGACGTTAAACACGTCAGAAGTGCGAATGTGAGAAGAAAGTCGAAGACGATAGGCATTAGGGTTTATCTTCTCGACAACCTCAATCGGGCCAATCTTACGAGCCGACAATTTATTAAACTCGTGCGCGGGAAACCTGTCCTTAGTTAAAACAGCCCAGACAAAATCACCCACCTCAAATTCGACGTGGCGGCGCCGGGCATCGGCGGCCTTCTTATACGCCGCAGTAGAAGACTCCAAGCGAGCCCAGGTCGCGGCGTGCGTTGCCACCAAATCCGCCACAAGCTCCGACGCGCGACGGTCAGTCCCGGCAGCTGCTGGCAGCGGCGCCAATGCACAAGGCCCACGCGGTTGGACCGCATACACAATTTGGAAAGGAGAAAGGCCCGTCGCTCGACCCACTGCTGAATTATGAGCGAATTCAGCCTGGCACAACCGCTGGTCCCAAGTACGTGTGTTATCACCCACCAAGCAACGTAGCAAATTACCCAACGAACGATTAACCGCCTCCATCTGGCCGTCCGTCTGAGGGTGCTAAGCGCTGCTGAAATCAAGGCGAGTGTCCACCATACGCCACAAACTCCTCCAAAAGTAACTCAGAAAACAGGTATCACGGTCAGACACAATGGCTGACGGTAGTCCATGAAGTCGATAAATTTCCTGAAAAAATAACTGGGCCACGTGAACAGCATCGGTGGTGCGCTTGCATGGAATGAAGTGCACCATCTTCGAGAAACGATCGACCACGACAAAAATAGAATCAAAGCCCCGCTGGGTCCGAGGCAACCCGAGCACAAAGTCCATGCTGATCGACTGCCACGGTTGGGAAGGTAGTGGCAGAGGCCTGTACAAGCCCGCATTAGTGGCTACCCCCTTCGAGACCTGGCAAATCCTACAACGGGCCACAAACCGGCCCACATCACGCCAAAGGGAAGGCCAGAAATAACTGCGACCCACCAGCTCCACGGACCTATCACGTCCCACGTGACCGGTCCCGTGCAAATCGGCAATGAGCTGCTGCCGCAAGCTGCAGTCCGGAATACATAGGCGAACCCCACAAAAAATAAAACCATCCAGCAAAGTGAAGTCCTCGTAGGGCCCGTCACGTAAACGAGCAAGGAGCGGCCCAAAGAATGGGTCCTCAGCGTACACATCCTTCAATACCTCAAAACCCACGATTGACACTCGCAACTCGGATAAGAACAGAGCACGCCGACTCAACGCATCGGCCACCCTGTTAGAAGTACCCGACCGATGGCGTAGGACAAAAGTAAACTGCTGAGGGAACGCAGTCCAAGAAGCATGCCTCGTCGAAATGTTATCTTAAGAGGCTAAGTGACGAAGAGCCTCATGATCAGTGTATAGCACGAACTCCCTGTGAAAAAGGTAGTGCCGCCAATGGCGAACCGCACGAACAACAGCATAAAATTCAACATTCATGCCTAAAAGCTTCTCACTAAAGAAAGAGACTGGACGCCCATCCTGGCTGAGGACAGCCCCAATCCCCACCTTCGAGGCGTCGCACGAAAGCTCGAAGGGCCGAGAAAAATCCGATAAGATAAGAACCGAAGCCGACGTCAATTTTCTCTTGATAAGGTCGAATGCCTGAGCAGCTGCCTCGGTCCACGAGAAACTCTTCCCCGTGAGACAGCCAGTAATCGGGGCCATCAATGTGCTAAAATACGAAATAAAACGGCGATAAAATGAGGCCAACCCATGAAAACTGCGAGCCTCCGTGAAGGAGGTCGATGTAGGCCAATCCCGAACAGCTGCCACCTTGCTTTCATCCACACGAATACCCTCGGCCAAAATGAGAAAGCCCAAGAACAGGACCGAGTCAAGTAGGAAAAAGCACTTATGAGGTGCTGCAAAGAAGGACTCAGCCCGCAATATAAGAAGCACCTCCCGCACATGCTCCAAATGCTCCTCGACCGAACGGCTGTATATAAGTATGTCGTCGAAATAAACGACGACATAACACCCGATAAGATCACATAGAGTCTGGTTCATGATGCGCATAAACGTGCTCGGCGCGTTGGAGAGACCAAACGACATGACCATCCACTCTAAAAGACCCTCTCGGATCTTAAAAGCAGTCTTCCACTCATCGCTCGGTCGAATCCGAATCTGATGGTAGCCACTACGAAGGTCCAACTTGGTGAAGACAGTGGCACCGTGTAACTGGTCCAGTAAGTCATCCAACCGAGGAATGGAAAAGCGATACCTGACCGTGATCTTGTTGATGGCCCGACTGTCAACACACATACGCCACGCCCCGTCCTTCTTGGGAATCAACAGTGCCGGCACGACACACGGGCTTAAGCTCCGACGCACCACTCCTCGTTGCAAGAGTTCCTCAACCTGCCTGCGAAGCTCCTCGTGTTCCACTGGGATCATGCGGTAGTGCGGCCGATTAGGAAGAGAGGCTCCCAGGACCATGTCTATATGATGCTGAATATCCCTCAGAGGAGGTAACCCTGTAGGAAGGTCGGTGGGAAACACGTCGGCAAACTCAGTCAACAGTGGTTGTATAATGGGTGGGGGTTCGCAATCAACCGACCTATCCGAGCCCACAAGTAAAAGGACGAAGTCCGCCGACTGCATCTCCTGGACAAAAGCCGACCTCGACAGAAAGAGAACAGTCGAAGCAGGAGGAGGTGGCACAGGGCGAGAAGGAGCAGGATGTAAGACAATCTGAGTACCGCCAAATGTAACACTATATGTATTAAGCCTGGCGTCGTGAGTAGTGGCTCGATCAAACTGCCAGGGCCTGGCTAATAACACGTGACATGCGTCCATGGGAACCACGTCGCACCAAACCCGATCCCGATAGGTCGCTCCAATGGACAACGAAAGTAGGACCCGACGATCCACTGTGATAGCATTTCTGCGCTGTATCCATGCGAGAGTGTAAGGTTGTGGATGAGGCTCGCTCGCCAGTCGCAATTTGTCAACGGTCTCTTGTGCAACCACATTCTCGCAGGAGCCCAAGTTGATGATAAAGAGACACACCTTGTCGCCAATAGTGCATGTGGACTCGAAAATGTGATGTCGCTCCTTCGTATCAGTATCAGAAGCTCGAGGTGTCAAACACGAACGACGAATCACGAGGGCTGTCCCAACATCTCCCCTATGATGCTCCACGTGCACTTCCGGCTCAACATCAAACACGGGCGGTCCATCATACGCCGCACTCTCGTCAAACTCGTCACCATCATCAAGGAACAAACCACGAGACTTGGACCCCCGAGGACACGATGCTTGACGATGTCCCAACTCACCACAACCGAAGCACCGCATACCCGAGCCAACCCGCTGTCCCACCGCTGCGGGTGGAACTCCCGAACCGCCTACCCTCGGTGGACCGTTGCTCGACCCGGTGACACGGCCTGCCGGAAGTTGCTGGCCCACACTGGCGCCCGACGGAGGAAACCCACGCCCGGACTGGACCATGGCACCACCCACCGATCCCACACGCGGCGACGCGGAAAAATTAGTTCCGCCTCTCCGAGCCAACTACTGCTCCGCTAGTCGGGCCCGCTGATACGCATCAGACACTGATTCAGCTCGAACAAAATTCAACATGTCCTGGATGGCCACACGCAGTCCACCCACATTGCGAGCAATCAATTGGTTCTTAGTTTCTTTCAACTCTACACGAGTCAACAGACGATAGAATTCATCAGTGTACTCGTCCACCGACCGGGACCCCTGCCTCAAATTTTGAAGTTGTTGGTACATGAGGCTATCATAGTTAAATGGCAGAAACTCACGCTCTACGCATTCCCGGAATTTGACCCAAGAATGAATTGGTGCTTTCCCTTGGCGATGCCGCACACTCGTAAGTTGCATCCACCACGCCGCAGCACGCCCACGAAATCTCGTGGCCACAAGATCAACACGCTGATCCTCAGGGCACCTCCTTAAATCGAAGCACGGCCTCCACTGATGCCCACCAATCCAAGAATTCATCACCTTGAACTCCACCGTGAAACTCGGGAATATCCACTCGAAAGCCGGACTCCCAACGCGACGCATCGCCCCCTTCTATCGGACGCATGCCCTCGCGCCGGTTCCGCCCAACCCCAGCCTGGCCACGGCGATCCTCGTAACCCCGGGCATGCTGAAAATTGCCCTCAAGCTCCGGACCGTACCTGT